ATTAAATTACTATAACGAGCTATGAGGACAGCCACTAGATGCAAACTTTTTTGCATTTTGAGGTAAGTGATGAATTTGACATATAACCACAACCAGTTTAGGATTGTGTTGCCTTTTTAAATAAGCTTTTTTATTCTCAAGAATTCAAGTCCTGGGAAGGAAGTGCTACACTTAGTGCATGTTTGGTAAACATGACCCTAAACTTTTGACAAGTCACAATTTTATAATTTGTGCAATGGTGTTAAAATGACAGCTTTCTGAGGTTTGATAACAGGATTAGTGTTAGCTGGTTGAAGACTGTCTCATAAGTCAAACACAAAATAAAAGATCTGTTGTGAATGGTTGAAATGCCTCTTATGTCCTGTTTTTTATACAGTATGGTTTAAATCCCTGCACAGTTATTAATTACTTTTCTTTGTGTATCATACAATTTAAATTGCCCATCTCATAAGCCTAATTCAGAATGACACCACACTCAATGCATCCATATACCATACTATACATATTACTAAACAAAATACACTGATTTACACAGAATAGAGCACTACAGTTTAAATGCTAACCATTCAACATTTATTTCAGTGTCTGATAATTGAAACGTGTGTCATCTTTATCTCAAAATATTTAAAAAGGTACAACAATTATTAAATTCTATTAAATAAACCAGTTGCTCAAAAAATTTTTAATTTTCTATTTCTTTCAGCTCACATGCTGGCAACGTCTGTCCCGAGAGATAACCATACTAGGAACCTTTACTCGTATGTTTGTTGTTGATGAACATAATTTAAAACGGACCGGTTTCCTTTACCCACAATCCTCTGCCTTTGGTCCGTCCTTCCGACTTCCGTCTCAACTGAGAGCCGAGGTGAGCATTTTTTCGGAAATTATATTTCTACAATCTAACGCCATCCTGCGATATTAAACCCTCCGTTGGCTACAAATTTCATCTACATGTACATATTAATGCTTTATAGTCTTGTATATGAGGTTTTTGATGTGGCTGATAATATTTAAAAGACAATTATAACGCGACGAATGGTAACGTTAGCATTAACTCGGCCGGAGTGGCGTCAGGTTGCCTGGCTGCTCATTTTCTCTGCATTAAAAATACTGCTAAATTATTTTTAGCGTAAAGCACTTGCACTTGTTTAAGAATCTGTTTTAACAAATGTGCTATTAAATTAGACTAGCCTGCATGTTTAGCTCGCGCTAACGAAATGTTAAATCAAGTAAGTTTCATGCTAACTGTAGACGTTACATTAATTTATCGAACATTTCTGGTTAAAGCATACATCAAAACAAATCTCATCAACATAGCTAAGCTGATGGCGCTGTCCAAACTGCGTTATTTATTTTAATCTTTTATTTTTTGTCGTTTCTAGATGGCCCCAACCAAGAAAGGAGAGAAAAAGAAGGGGCGTTCAGCCATCAATGAGGTTGTGACCAGAGAGTACACCATCAATGTGCACAAGCGCATCCATGGAATGTGAGTATTACAAGGGCCTGGAAATGCTTGATTCTGGGACATTAATGCACAACGTAGGCTGCCTGTTGACTGATATCCAGTTATATCTGCTACTTGCCAGTTAAATTAATCCAAAATATAAAATTTTATTAACTTCAGATACAGTGAAATGATAAAAGTACAAACTTTTGTGCAAAAAAGTGATGGCAGAAAGTGTTTGATAAATGACAATAATTATCAGTATAGAAATTATACGTGATTAATGGCTTTGTTGTCTTGCAGAGGTTTCAAGAAGAGGGCTCCACGCGCCATCAAGGAGATCCGCAAGTTTGCCGTGAAGGAGATGGGAACTCCTGATGTCCGCATTGACACTCGCCTCAACAAGGCGGTGTGGAGCAAGGGTGTCAGGTGAGATGATACACAATTAATACGGAATATCTGAGCACAAACATACTGCTAACTTGGACTGATGTATTAAGTCCTAATAATCTCTGATAGTCATGACTGTAAAAAAATATATATCTATATCTCTGAAGTAATCTACTGTCACTGCACATTGTTCTGCTTGTTCTGTATGTATGGAGAAGGGAAAGGGCAAAGTTTTTGTTGGATTTCTGTTAAATGGCATATAGCTAAATGTGTATTGCATTGATCACTTTAAGGCACTGCACCCTTAAAGTGGCTGTAGTTAATGACTGACTGCCACCAGCTTTAATTTAAGAAGTTTGTTTGGGTTGTATCAATGTTTGTGCAACTTGAAGCTTCTACAGGTAGTCTTAAGCTTGATGAGGGGTACGGGGCTACGCAGAGGCTATGCAGTGTCATGACATGAAACTGTTGAAATTGACTGCTCTGTCAGCTCAGGCATGAAGGGTCTTCTGTACATGCGCTGGTTGAGGATTCCCAGACAGATGTGTAGAAACTGAACATACGCTGCTATGCTTCATGAATACACAAGTTGGTTGGAGGACTTGGTGACAAATCCTTTACTTTATTAGAGAGGTGTTACAGACATGTTTTTCACATTCAGTTCTGTCAGCGAGGTGGGGGGGGAAGAGACTGCAGGATGTAAGAAACATGGCATTCCCGGATTTCTGTCTGTATTGGAAAACCTCATTTCCAAATGACAGAATTTTCAGAATGTAGATTTTCAGCTTACCTTGACGTTCTCAGCATCAGAATGTGGTTTTGTTCACCAGGTGGGGCAGGGTGTTTGCATTCTGAGACTGCTCTGGTTAACACCAAATCACTCTCATGTCACAAGGCCTTTAACGTTCGGTTCTCAAAGCACTCTTGCACTCCAACATGTACATGAAATTGGACTCGTGGCACATCTGCGGGCCAATGTACAGTTGCAGCAACATATCAAATGTCTTGCATTTAGTAAAGATGGTAACCATCAAGTTGTCATGTGTTGTGCAGGAACGTGCCGTACAGGATACGCGTGCGGCTGTCCAGGAAGCGTAACGAAGACGAGGACTCTCCCAACAAACTGTACACCCTGGTCACATATGTTCCTGTCACCACATGCAAAGGTAAGTATCCTGCTAGCTGACGTTGTCGTTCACTTACTGAAGCATCAGACATTTGATTCAATGTTTTTCTTCTTTTTCCAACAGGTCTGCAGACAGTCAATGTTGATGAAAACTAAATTTGTCCCCTCTGAGAGTGGAATAAATGAGTAAAAAGGACCTCTTGTCTTGTGTCTTTATTTCTTTTCTACACTGAATGTTTTATTAGGAAATTAAAAGGAAAAACCTGAATAAAGAATGAGTACTTTAAAAATACCTATGCAAGTAAAATAACTGATTTTTAAAACAATACTAAAAGTACACAAAAGAGGAGGACCTAACAAGTTTCTCCCTGTATTAGATTATGGGAATACTGTGAGCACAACTAGATTTTATATCTAAATGAGTTCCAGTGTCATCGTTCCACAAGAGAACCAGTTAAAAGTATAATCTACAAGTTCATTGTACTGTGCGCCAGAAGAAACAATGACTGATGAAAGTAGCATTTCTCTGACTTAACCCTGAATGTAAAACTTCTCATGAACTGCCTTTGGTTTGAATCAGTGTTTCCTTTTGCCTGTATGTCTGTAGGACACCAGACTATTGTGAAGCAGGTAATGTTTTCTTGGACACATCAAAAGACTGGTAGACATACTTGGACTTGATTCTGATTAGCTCCCTTACCTTAATAATCAACTAAATCCTTCCAGTCAGCCCTTTGCAGAATTTGAAGTAAATCTTTGAGCAATTTAAACTCGGAAAAACTGTTCTTGATGTCGACCAGAGTTATGTGAATTGAGAATCTAATCTTCATAATCATTTAATGGATCCATTTTTCAGCCCAGTGTTTACAAATCATCATAGACTTCTTACATTGAATCATGAAAACTGAAGCGCCCTGTTAAAACCTAAAGCTTTAAAATGTGTTTGAGCTTCTTTGCACATTTGGCACTAAGAGCTTCCCAAATTATTCAACACATCCAAGCCGATGAGCCCACATCTATGTGTTAGGCCAGGATGGAATATTTTAAATAAATGGAGTATAACGCAGACTGTTGTCTGTATGTGGGCTGCTCGGTTCAAAGCCACTGACATAGCACGTTGTAATTTATTTTCCATCAATATAAACTTAGCTTCAAATTGACTTACAGCCGTAGTGATGTCTGGGAATGTTTCTGATTCTATACATCTTTTGTTGTGTCTGGCTATGTTTGTTTTTCTTTCTATCTGTTGTGATCTCCAAAAGATTTCCTGATTAAATAAAGGTTGTGTATATAAATAAGGGAACAACTTGGGGAGGAATGGTTTTTGTTCCTCCAGTAGAGTTCAACAAACTTGGCAGGGAGCCCTGAAGCTCTTCTGGAGGCTCATAGTGGCCTGACTCAATACTGAGACACTTCATGCTGCTGTCTTCAACAGTAATATTAACCCTTAACTTAAAAAACAAATAATTTTACAGTGAAGAGTATTGTTTCAGGGATGAAACAGACCATGTCCCCTTCTACAGTAAAGGTACATTGTTTCAGCCTTAGTATGTCTTCTTGAACAGTCAGTCCTATCTTGGCAGTTAGGACACAATACACACAGCTTGTTTTAATTAAAAAATTTTAACACAAACGGGATGGTAGAACAAAAGTGCTTGGCCAGGTCTTTAAGATCAGAGATGGACAGTACAGTATACCGTTTTGGCACAGATGCTCATTCAGATGTACAAGCAGAGATGAATCTTATTAAAATTTAAACTGGATGTGCTGGCTGTTGAAATAAGTTACTATCATGGTTGCATAATGAAAGGACCGCATTTAATCCATTATTAAGCACATTATGTAATAGTAAATAAATGACTGACGTTATGTGCTATTCAAATGGCTTTGAACAGCACAATCCACATACAAACAGCACTGAGCTGTATATTATTCATTTGAAATATTACATCCCAAATTGACTGAGCGTGGGCCTTTATACGGCCAGATCAGCATCACTTTATTAGACTGGATCAAGTCCACAGCTTCCCCCGGCTGGGGAAATGTAACGTAAATGAAGATGGATGTCAGCAGTATGTCGCCGCTAGTGGGAGCTACTTATCTGCTAGCAGTCGGATGTTGTGAAGAACAAGCTATGGCATCGTCCAACATTTTATCCAGAGTTTGTGCGTGTGTTGCTGTAACTCAGCAAGAGGGTAAGACACGAGGCTGCTCTGGTGCCGTACCGGTCTTGACTTATTGCATTAACCTCGAAGAGAAAGACTAGCATGGTTCAGTGTGCTTCATGTCTCACCGCTGTCTGGGATGGACAGGTGTGGCTAGCTGCTGGGCTAACTAACTGACCAGCTAACTTAGCTAGCATAAATGCAGTTAACTAACGGTAGCAAACGTTACTGTATTCGGATACTAACGTCAGTCGTTGGTGCATATATGTGTATGTGTGTGTATATATATATATATATATATATATATATATATATGATATTCATATTCGCCAACTGAAAGCAGAAACGCTAGCTAGCTCTTTATGCATTCAGTAGCTAATGAAGTAACATCCCCAGCTAACGTTAACTCTCATAACTTGTCACTCGGCTAACGTTAGAGTAAGGCGTAATCTTTGTTTTGGGGATATAGCTCGTTTATAACAACACATTAGTATTAGGATTAGTGTTGCAACAGATGTTTAAGCTAACAGCTAAGTTAGCTAGTCTAGTCCAGCCTTCAATCAGCTGTCTGTGTGTCTGTGTGTGCAGGTGGGAGCGCCGCTTAGTGTTTCCATGGACGTCGGCTGATGGGCGAAGCGATGCGGCACCACTGGCTGCTCCTTGGGGCTTGCGGCTGGGTGCTGCTCATCCTAATGTTCGTCAGCAAGTTCATCAGCTTCAGAGCTATAGATGGTAACCTTTCGTTTCTTCTATGGGGATACTACATACAGTCAATTATATGTGATGTAAATGTGATACGCCTTCTATGTATTTTCAGACTACGGAGAGAGGTTTAGTGGTCAGAGTTCAGGCACTGTGCCAGGCACCAAAGTGGCTAAACACAATCTTGTTTCCAGCCCAGACAAACCAGTTCCACAGCCATCTGATCCGGTGACTGTGCAGGTAATTACTAATTGTACCACTGAGTTAATTTAAAACAAAGTAAACTACTTTTCTGCTCTGCAGTTACTCACATTTGTGCTGTATGTGTGTCTCAGCCCTCAGCTGTACCTACAGATGCAGATTGGCAGGCAGTCTCTGAGAGGCGAATCGAGTTGCTCTCCACTGTGTGTAAGAACAGCAGCCTCAGGAATTTGACTCATGTCTCCATCAGCAAGTTTGTTCTGGACCGCATCTTTGTGTGTGACAAACACAAGATCTTGTTCTGCCAGACGCCTAAAGTGGGCAACACACAATGGAAAAAGGTCCTCATTGTGCTCAATGGTAAGCATGGGTTTGGATGAAGGTCATAACAATGCCCATGTTTACTATAATGATAAGGAATGACTGATAAATACCATTTGTGGTTGTCAGCTGCACACACACGGGCAAAGCATGACCACAATGGCAGCAATCTCCTAGAAATTAAACATATGTGCCCTGTGATGACCTTTTGTTGTTAACATTGTCAGGAGCATTCTCCACTGTGGAGGAGATCCCAGAAAACCTTGTTCATGATCATGAGAAGAACGGCCTGCCCCGCCTCTCATCACTCACACCGCAGGAAATTACTCACAGGTTAGTTAAGAGTTACTGTGATCCTTGTGGATGATCATACGTCAACTTTTAGCTTAGTTGATGCTACTTTGTGATCCATTGCAAAGCATGGCAAGTATTTGTTAGCCAGCAAGAATGCAGAAATGCCTGCTGTGACAGTGCAACCAACCAACCAATCAATGAAATGTACGTAATTTATTTATTATTTTAACCATAATAAAGTGTGCAATACACACTTTGCTATTTTTTTTCCCCACACTTTTTACTATGCATATTCTGTATGTGTGAGCTGCATGTGTGTAAATATTAGATGGGTGGATTTGTTTTTATTTATGTATGGTTTTTGAGCAATGATTCAGGAAGTGCGCCTGAATCTCTTTGTATGTTTCATGCAATGACAATAAAAGACATTTCAAATTTCCATCCTTAATAACTCTTTTCTAATAAACCCATATATGCCTCAACAGATTAAACACTTACTTCAAGTTTTTCATCGTGAGAGATCCCTTTGAGCGCCTGATTTCTGCCTTCAAGGATAAGTTTGTGAAGAACCCCCGCTTTGAGCCTTGGTACAAGCATGACATCGCTCCGGCCATCATTCGTAAGTACCGCAAGAGCCACCGGGACAACGACCTTGCCGCCTCTGGCCTGCACTTTGAGGACTTTGTCCGTTACTTGGGGGATGTGGAAGGCCGTCGCCGAGTGGACCGGCAGTTTGGTGAGCACATTATTCACTGGGTGACTTATGCAGACTTGTGCGCACCATGTGAAATACACTACAGTGTGGTGGGCCACCACGAGACACTGGAGAAAGACGCCCCATACATCCTCAAAGCAGCAGGCATTGACCAGCTGGTGTCCTATCCAGCTATTCCTCCAGGCATCACACGCTACAACAGGACCAAGGTGGAGCACTACTTCTCAGGCATCAGCAAGAGGGACATCAGACGTCTATACACACGCTACCAGGGTGACTTCCACCTATTTGGTTACCCAAGCCCAGACTTTCTAATGAACTGAAATGATTACCAATAACTAAAAGACATGTTTTCTTATAAAATCCTTACTGAGGACACAGGTGCATCATAGCGGACTGTGTGCCATCAAACTGGCAGACCTAACGGGCTCAAATGCAGTAGATTGCACACTGTAATATCTTTGTTCTGACCACTTGTGTTGGAATAACTGACAGGTTACTATGTTGGCTGTATTTGCAATGACTGAAAAGTGTTGCCTAATCATATATTTAACAGTGTTTTTTTATGGAAAGAGTAGTTTTCTGGAAACCTGTAGTGTCACAGTACAGTGAAGGAAGAAAGATGGTGTTGCTGCAAAAGATGGGACGTGAGTACAGGCAACACCGTCACAGTCAGCAGCGATAAAAGGTGTGTGTGTGTGTGTGTGTGTGTGTGTGTGTGTGTGTCTCTCACAATATACAGATCAGGTACAGGTCAAATGGAGAACACATTTGTTATCTTATATTTAATGTTTATGACTGAATTGTCCTCGTTTATCAAAGAGGTGTACTATGTAATGCCAGGGATACAGGCCCGTTACCCTGTAATGTAGCCGTTATACTGCACTGTATGAATCGCCTGTATCAATGATTCAACCTGTCAAGGAAGGTTACAGGCAATGCTATGCGTTTATTACATGTGGTGTCTTTTCTGTACTTCTTGCTGTCATGCTAGATGTAGGCAAAGACGGTCTGTATCAGGGATGCTAACATTTTTGGACAAGGAAAGTGAACTCAAAGATACAATACCAACTGATTGGACGTTGATATTTTTCATTGTTTTTATTAGCAAATCAGTATTAACTTTAAAAAAAATAATTGAACCTTGATTTTTGCAAGCTGTATTATATCTCTGTAAGATAGTGAATTACCCTACAACTATCATGAAATAGCATCAAAATGGTAACAAAATGACTTTAGTCCTGCCCTGATCCATATTGTAGCCATTGTTCTAGCTGTTCTGCCTTTTCTAGAACTGACAAAGGAATCAAATTGCTTTTGACTCCATTTATTCAGCTGTCAACTGCACTGGGACATTGAAGGAAATTGGCACAGAGTCATTTTTCTATCAGAAATGTATATATGTTTAAATGTTCACATGACTTGCAACTCAACATTTGTATTACATGTTGCTATTTATAATATTATTAACCTGCTGACTGGTTGGGCACAAAAAGTGTTGCCTGCCACCAGCAACTTGGTGACCTTTAGGAAAGGTGGTCATAATACAAAGACAACGCTAGTTAGCAATAAAGTTCCATGTGGAATTAAAAGGTGGTCTTTCTTTGCCACTTTCACACCTTGGCAGGAGCTCACGTGTCAATTATTACTTATTTTAAATGCTGAATTCCAGGTGATGAGAACGTAGTTTAAACAAATTCTCCTGCACATCCTGAACTATGTAAGTTGTTGGTTCATACTTCTGTATGTGGTCACCATAAACATGTCCTTTGTGTATGTTCCTGCAGTAATATCAAATATCCACATGGTGGCAGTAAGTCATTTAAAGTTTGACTGCTTAGTTAAGAAGCCACAAACCCTGTTGAACCCTTGACTATTTGTCACCACACAGGACTGTTGCAATTGCCATTTGAACCACATGAATAAGGGCAAAACAATGACTTCATAGCCGTATGTCGGCATCAAACATTTCAAGACAGTGGAAGGTGGGACAGGATTTACATTATCAGTGTCAGCTGTACAAACTTACCTTATGGCGGAAGGATTTAAGTAGATTTAAGGAGCTGTTAGTTGAGTGTTGGAGTGAGTAAATAAGTTTAAGGCTTTCAGCTTGCATGATGTGTATGTGTGTGTGTCTCCCCACTGCCAGGGTACATCTCTCATCCTGTCTGACTGGTTTGTCCTGCCCTGTTGTTTGACTGTTGAGTCGAAGTTTGTTTAACCACAAGATTATCTTGGCCTGTATGAAAGTTTCTTTGTGGTGTTATGATAAATAACTGAAACTCTGCAGCTGAACAGTTTCCCTCCCTGCAGTGGACTGGCTTGTGCTCCTATTAAGACACTGCGTCCCATATTGATGTTGTTAGTAAAGACCCAGGCTTGTGAAATACTGCGCAGTGCCAATGGATTTCAAAACATCCTATCTTTATGTGATTACTCCATAATGTAGTGTGTAGCTATACACACACCACATTCAATTATGTCATGCCTTAAGAGTATGGTAAGATAGTGCAGAGCAGAAATTAACCTAGATCAGTGAGGTGACTGCGTAGCAATGGAGCACCTTTGGGTGCACTGCTGACAGGCCTTTAAGAATTCAGCATCCTACACATTGATTTGGAGGCTGCAACTCGGGCTGATTATGGAGTGAGCTCTAACCAATTTCTTATTATTAAGGGGGTAATTATCAAAAATCTTCAGAGAGAGTGACCCAGCTAAATAATGCTGGCAAAACATCAGCGACAAAATTATTTAACTTTTAGAAGAGTGCGAATAGTGAAACATCTCATTTTAAAATCCAGTATTGAGACTGATGATGAAATTAGGTCATTGATTTTATTTTATTTATTTTTATCATGTCCCATGGTGCTCCCTAGTCCCCACTTTGGGAACCACTGTACCAACATTACCCAGCATCATTTGAGATTGCTCACTTGCCACACCCATGATTACCAGAATTGACACCGAAGTCGAACGTGCGCATGTCCATGAGGATGCTTTACGGGTCGGTGGGGGGTCCTTTCCTGCCTGCCTCTATTTATCTTACCTGCCACGCTGCTTGTGTGAATATTACATTAACATGCAGGCTGGTGGCAAGGTGAGTCTGTGTGGAGAGTAGCCTACTTTACAGATAATCTCGCTATCCATGCTTGATGGATTGAAACCCAGCCCTTTTCTTTCTATGTGAAGCCGACCGGCTTCCTGTGTTTGTGCCGTTCTCAATCAAAGATGCGTCAAGTCAGACAGGAGCAGGCAGGACAACAGCGGAAATGAGGCAGTTTTACTTTTAACATAAAATATTTTTTGAAGGAAATTTTGACTTGTAGGATCAAAAATTTGTCATAATATAATCAACAAATGATTTATGATACTTGGATTAAAAACACCACTGTTTCTTGGCAAAAGGAGCAAATCAGTGAATGTTTTTTAATGGTCATCTTAAGACGAACATTAAACACCCTGTTGGGGTGCAGGGTGGGGCACAGTTTAACATCTTAAGACTACAAAAAATAACACGTTAATGTGTCACATTTGTACTCTCAAAATAGCAGAAAAAGAGTGTGTTAACATGTCACAGTTTAACGTCTTAAGATGACGTAGCGGGTTGTCCATTTTGGGTACTACCACTTCATAAGCTTCTGAAGGGAAACCCTATACAATAACTGCAAGAACAGCAATAATTCCCCACTCAACCTACCTTGTATGACTTAAGTTGGGCTTAAGAAATAATATTGATTAATTTATGGAAAGTGATATGGTTGCTTATTGAATTAAAATCACCTTCTGGCTGTCCAGTTTATTGAAATAATTAAGCGATATATAAAATTACCAGCTGGAACATTAAAGTAATGTTTATACATTAATGCACCATGTACGTACTTTTACTTTAATATAATTCTGAATGCAGTTTTCTTTCTAATAGAGTACGTTCATTCTGAAGTATTACTACCTTTATTTAAGTCAAGTATGTACTTCCTCCACCACTGGTAAATGTAAGCACACTTTGATAAGACATATGGCCTTATTTGAAAAAGAACAATCGCTATATTTTATTAATTCACATTTGATTTCTGTTTTAATGTAATCATAGGTATCACAGTGTTTTTGGTCAACAACAATGGAAAAAATAGTGAGGCTTTTATGTTGAAACTCTTGGGCAGAAGTGTGAGTTTTCCGTCTAGCTTGCCTCCCTGTGGCTCAATCTGGGAGAGAGCGGACAGGGACCCCGCTGCTGCCACCTCAACATGGAGTAGCGAGATCCCAGCCTTTGCTGCAAAGAAGCAGATCCCGTAGAGAGGAATACGCGACGGCCTCTGCTTGATCTATCCGTCGAAGTCCCCGCAAATGCTCCAGCAGTGGCTGTTTTTCGTAAACGCAAAGGAAAGCTCGGCTTTTATTTGAAAGATGGCGAACGACTCTCCAGCTAAAAGTCTAGTAGACATAGACTTGGCTTCATTGCGGGTGAGTGCAGCCGAACACATATTTTTGTTGTTGTTTTGCGATGTTATATTTCACCTTGCTCGATAAAACACACGTCCCTCAGTGTTACTAACATTGGCAAGTTTGAGCCTGTTTTCCTGTGCCTTCTTGTTTGAGATGAAGTCATGAAAATGACCGCTGAGCCATAGCGAGGTGTTGCCAGTGTCTGGTTTTCCTTTGTTCGAGATGCATTTGGCATGTAGGGTAAACCAGGGCGCAACAGCTGGCTCACAGAGGACAATGTTGTCTATAAAAGAAATATATTAACATTGCTATTTATTCACACTGAATCGCCTTTCTGTCTTTTTCCCTTTCAGGATCCAGCTGGAATATTTGAATTGGTGGAGGTAGTTGGAAATGGCACCTATGGACAAGTATACAAGGTTGGTTGGAGGCGCAGTGCATGGCCTGTCCTGTTTTCACAGTGCACGCTCAGGAAAGACAATGTTTCCCCCACCTCCTTATCAAGTCTGGGAACAATGTAGCTGACATTAAAAAGACGTGTCAGATGTTGCTACCAGACCACACCACTGATGATTCAGTTGATAAAAGCACAGGGATGTAATGTTTCCAGTAATGGTGGCTTGTGTTGGTATCAGTCAGATTAGAGCCTGGTGTTTGCATTGATTGTTCATCTGAAAGGTGTGTGTTTGTGTGTGTGTAAAGAGTGAATCAGTCTACCGTCTGATGCATCATCTATCTTGCATCACCTGCCTTACTGAAAAGTAGGTGAGGAGGCAAGGATGGAGAAACAGTTTCTGTCATAAGACCGCTCCCGCTGGTCTCTGTCTGCAGGCCATTCTTTTCTTTTAAACGTTTCTTAACAACAAAACCAACATTTATATCCTGTTTAAATCAGGACTTTTCCAGTTCACTGGATGGGAATCCCACTCTCTGGGCCATCTGCTCTTGGTGTCACATTTCTCTGCTGAAAATGAACATTGCGGCTGTTGAAAGACATTGCCAAGGAGGGAGAGAGGGACAGCGAGCGCTGTCAAAGATGTGGTCGAACAGTTTGATGGAGGGATGGCCTTGGATTGGAGAGGCATCCTCCATAGACTGTTGTTTTAATGGGCCTCCTTGTGTTATTGCTGCAGCTAGCTAGTCACTGGAGGCTCCATTTTGTTGCCCACTGCTTAATGACATTTAACCACACACCTATATGTTAAGTAGGCATCTAGTTTGCTAGGCACAGACTGTTAATAGGCAAGTACTTGCAGGCTAGCAAAAAAACCCCATCAATTTGCTTGTGCACTAAGCAGCAAGCTAAGCTGAGTATTTAATTCTGACAGCCAACAGTGTTCCAGTGACCTGCATTCAATCCCCCAGTGCTGTGAACTTCCAGGATCTCCCCCACCTCAACTGACAGAGTGAATCCATCTGTGTGCAATGTGCCCACCTTAAATCAGCCCTGTGTCATTAGGAAGTGTGATGCTTGCATGCTATCTTCCCACCAGATGGGTTTGATCCGGGCCTATGGGACGGAGAATTACTGCTTCTCCCTCTTTTTTGTCACCATAATCTCTCCCTCCATTCACTGTCCAATGCTAATTCTATTTGCGAGTGCTGCTGTGTGGGAATGGAGCTCGTACAAGAGAGGGCTGTCAGATTAGCCCGCAGTTGGCACGAAGACACGGTCGTAGCAGCCTGGAAGAGATGAGCCAAGCTGTGTAAAGCAAAGTCATAGCTTGCTGTAGCCTAATGCTAAAGCTTGCTGCAGTAGCCTCCTTTCGACTAGCCATCGACCAGTGCTTTGACTGTCATGTTAACCAGTTGAATGGGCATGTGGCCTGTGAGCATGTGCAATGGGAGTGTGGTGGTGGTGAGGAGGGGCTGCAACTGGTAGAAGAGCAGCTGTCCAGTTCCAGAAAGAACCTGCACCCCGCTCTGACAAAGCTGAGTTTGTCCCCTCGCTTTTTGGATCTCTCAGTCCGTCAGTCAGTTAGATCCGCAGAAAGGAGGAGTTTGTCTGCAGGGTTTCAAACGCCAACCGACTGAATAATCACAACAGCCCCCCAACTGAAAACGGGGTGGAGTTTCTTCTCCTTCTGAGGCCTTTTTCTGCTTTGTCAAGCACTTGGTCACAGATTGCAAGGCCCTTTTTAGTTAACACAATGTGACCAAGCTTCTTTACTCTTTGATTTGTAGTGACTTTTGATTGCTTTGAGACTTTACCCTCTGGCTTTTTTTTTTGTTATTTAAGGTGGGCTGTAGGGAGTGAAAATACTGGTAAATACTGAGTTTAAAGTTAGTTTTCACAACAAATGTCAAGTGTATAAGTGCAGTTTTTGAATTTCTTTGTTGCTGCTGTTCACCGTTCCAATAAGCTGATCATAATGTTAACTGTAGAGGATATACAGTGTTATTCTTTCATAAAGACCTCGCTATAGGAATATGGAGACTATTTGTTTTGCAAGCTTTTCACTGAGGGATACACTCATGGGTTTTGGTGCATTAAAAATCAGCACATAGAGGTAGTGTAATGATACATTTCACTGTGGTCATATTTGCAGTCTTGTTCACTTATTCTTTGATCAGATAGTTCCTGGTTTAAATCATAATTCTGACATTTTAAAACTGTATTTTATTAGACTACGTTCTTGTACGGCTGCTTGTGTTTACTCAACATTTAACACTTTAGAACAAGAAAAGGGGGTTTGTTTCCACTGTATTTCAGCAATACTATTGCAATATTTCAGACAACACTTAGCTGTAGACCTGATTAAGACCTATCACTGCTGGCCAAGGATCAGATCCCAACAAAACCTATTTATGTATCTGCTGTGTTGCACTGCTTGCAGCTTATTCAGAAAATTAAAGAACCAAGCTGTTCTCTAAGACCCCAAAAAGCCATGTCAAGGTTCTTGTGGCCATGCTGTGCAGGCTAGCTGTACTCTCTGCCAAGAGGGCAGCAGTTGCCCCTGGAAAGGGGCCAGATGACAGTCAACTTCTGAAAACACAGCGCTGCAGATTTTGACTGACGGCCATAAAGAAAATAATGTTATAGCTAAAAATTCCTTTTTTAAAAATCACTTAATTTTGCCTTGGCCAGCTGGCTGATCGAAATGGAAGCCTGGATCTATATACAGATTGAACACACTTGTTACAGTGTTATCACCAAAAGTGATTCATTTTGAAAAGTATTGTAGTTGTATGCTTGTACTGAAAACATATACCAGTGATTTTAACCACATTATTTAGATTTTTTTTCCAATAAAATTCTATTGCAGGGTTTTTTAATTCAGTAGCTGCAGGAGCCCCTAACTTGATCCCTCACATTGCATCTGTAGCCATATTCCTCACTCTTCTTTAAAATGGCATGTGCATTTATTTGAATTATGCATTCATAGCCATACTATTTGAAAACACTGCTCTCACATGAGATTCTCTCTGAGTTTCTCTCCCTCCTTCACTCTTTATCAGCTGGCACCAATCCAGCTGGCTCAATAGAGGATCTCAGGTGCCTCTCTCTGGATATAGGGATTTAAAAAAAAAAAAGAGAGAGAGTAATGATAACATAGAAAAAGACACAATTCCTCAAATTGAGCATGGTATGCAAGGAAGATTCCCCCTGCTCCACAGAATGGCCATATATAGTCAGGCCTGAGGCACCAGAGCTCTTGCTGACCTGACTCTCTGACTGCATTGCATCCACGGGAGTGTGCCAAGGTTGTGCCCACCAGTATTTTCAAACCACCATGTCCCTGTGTTTTTCCAATGGTTAAAATCTATGGTGAATTGACCAGGGGATTCTACTGACAATAACCAGCGAGGTCATGTGGCTGAAAACTCACCAAAGCAGAAGCACCAAATGGAAATAAGATTTATTTTCTACCGTGCACATGCACTACACATAACAGGCTTTTCTAGTAGGCACACTTATCCAGTGATATCATATGCTAAAGACAAATTTCCTTCAGCAAGTTTATTCTGTAGCTCAGCAGCTTCTCCTCTCCCAGCGCATGTCCTCCATCTCCTTCCTTTGTTTTCTCCTCCAGCCTTAGGGGCAGCCTCGCCCCTGCCCTCAGGACAAGTAGCTCTGTCCTCAGGGGGGCTCGCTATGCCTGACGGCCACAAGGGGTGTGAGCTGCTGCTGAGGAGGGAGCGGAATCATCTTGTGCAATCTGTTAAATGCCTAACAGTGCCATATGGCGCTGGGTGAGACTGGCGCTTACCTCAGGGCAGTGGTTATCGGCGATCAAAGCAGAAAGGTGCTTTGAATGTTTGTTAGAAACGGAGGATTGTGGATTTTATAAAATACGCCCCGGTGTTGAAATCTTTATTCTGCAAACAAGTCAAAGATGCTCCAGGTTGCACTTTAAATCATGCCATGTAGGTGCATCAGTTCGCCAATGTTGTTGACAATGAGATGTTGTCTGACTTAAGTTTAATCCTCATCAACCCTTGTGGGTGTCCAGCGTCAGTCCTTTAACAGAGCAAGAGTCTAATACTGGCTTATTAAGACATCAGTGTTAATAATCCAGTATTGGTCAGTCAGTATTAATATTTAAAGTATACAATATCTGATAATGATGTATTGGCCAATAGTATTTTTTTGTTCACGTAGCTTTTTGGCAAGGATCCCTCAAATGTGTTTTTTGTTTGGTAGAATAAACTTTAACATGTTCAACTGTAACATTTGCCACCTTTATTATCAAAGCTGATAGTGACAGTAAATCAGATTTTTAACATGGTGTTTTGACAGATTTGAGATTTCTTTATTTCTATTGTAAATGAAAAGGAAGCATCAGACATTGGCGTAGCTGTAATATTGAAATATAGAATATACATTGACCACCTTAATTGAATATGTGGAATGTAGAATTGCCTATTTTGCCAGTCAAATTGAATTTAATTAATATAGCCTAATGCTACTAATGACTTGCTGCTTGCAGAGCAGTAGCTTGGATGCCACTGCTGGACCTTGTGGCAGTGAAGGGCTTGCCTAATGAATGACTCCTGAATGGGGCTCATTGGTAAAGAGCCTCAGTGCTAATTGGCTGTGTAGCTTTTAGGTCAGAATCAGGCTACAAAAGCGGCCAGGGTCCTGTGTTGTGTCACACTCGCACTCTTGTTCTATTATCCAGACACGGTGTAACTGCAAGTACATTAGTTTGAGCTCTTTTTAAAGAGTCAAAAGTCATGCATGAAACATTCAAGATAGCAACACACACTGCAGTGTACATCTCTTTTGTGCCCATCTCCCCTACAGTGACCCTCTCCCTCCCTAATGGGTGTCACAAGACCCGCAACGTCCCCTGACCAGCCATGCTGCCTGAACAAAACTCTCTGTGTCCGTGTGTGTGTGTGTGTGTGTGTGTGTGTGTGTGTTCATGCCATGGTCTGTGTGTAGCTCATTGAGCCACCTCATTACCCAAGTGGT